GAATGTTTTTATAAAATTATAAAAAAAAAAAAAAAAAAAAAAAAATTCACTCAGCAATTCATTAAACCAGGTGAAAGCAGGCTTTGAGGACATCTTCAGAGATATCTGCATTAAGTGTGTTGCCTGGAGCGAATGGTCCAGATGGAAATGACAGTGATGAACGAGGACATTAGTTCCTCTACAAACACTTTCAATCTGAAATGCTTCACATGTAAGACAAAAAAAAAAAATGATAGGATCTTATTTTCCTCACCAAATTGTGTTTTTCCCAATCATGGGAAACGTAAAAGATTAACAAGTTCAACTGTGTCATTACCCAGATTGCGCAGCCCCAGGCCAGCTGAGGCCAGGATGTCCAAGCCAACGGGGCAGATGAGGGATGGGGATGGGCCGTTGGTGGTAGGATTCAACACCACAGAGGAAGAGGATGACGACACCCCGTTGTTTTCCAGACCCAGGAGGAATTTTCGGGCTTCATACATGTTCACTGCATTCCTTTCCACGCTCTTGACTATCACAGACTGAGAGAGATCAAGGGAGAAGGAAGAGATTATGAGAAAATCAAGAAAAGACAGGCAGGGTAGAGGAATAAAATGGGAAGAATGCAAAGGAGAGAGGCAAAAGTGCAGGTGGAGAAAGGCATGAAGAGGAGGAAGAAAAAAAAAAGACAAGGGAGGAGGGAGGGTTAGACTGGGTAGGGAATACTGGCACCAGAGATTGAGAGTGAAAGGGAAGACGAAGGGGAGACAGAAGGGAGGAGGAAGAGGGAATTAAGGGTAGATTAGAAGGACAAACACTGAAGCAGTCTGGGAGACAGGAGGAGACATGGGAGCAAAGTGTGAAAGAAAGCATTTCTTAATCTATTTCATAACATACTTTGATATGAGTGAAGAGAACATGAGGCAATACGAGTTACTCAATGACTCTCATACTACGAGGCACTAAACCAACAGTAAAGAATTTAGAGCAGAACGAATTTTAAATTAATGAGAGACATGACTTCTACATTTTTCCACATCACCAGAAACCTTGCTTTTCAAATAAAAGTGAATAAGAAAACAAATCATGCCCTGCCTCTTTGTGTTTTGCCAGAGCTCAGTGTTCGAAATATTGATTCCAATCACACACACCCCTATGGGTCTGCCAAATTGCCGGGAGCACAGAGGCTATGGCATTCATTTGGACGGGCCTTTTAGATTACTGCTGTCACCTTGTTAAAATGTTTAAGTGAAGATTCTTAAAAGGATCTGGGCTGGGTCAGTGTTTACTCTGGCACCTCTAGACCAGTCCCCAGGCCTGTCTGGTTTGAGCCCTAAGTCAGGATGGGATGTGGGTACCCTAAAGAGACAGTAAGTGCTGGGCCAAGTGGTAAAATATCATTAGGTGCATTGTATTATAGAACAGCAGACCATTAGAAGTTGGGTCAGACGGTAAGAGGCTGCAAATCAGATAATATGAAAATGTGCAACACATTTCACCAATACATGTTTTATTACTACAAGGTGAATGAGCGCACCTCCATTTTACTAAGAACACATGAAAATCAATCCAGTTATTTTGTACCTAGAATAGTTGACGCATAATAATAAAAAGGTTGAGCGCCCCTGTCCATCAGGTGAGAAGTGCACAGCAGGCTGAGTGCAAAGAGCAGACTGTGCATTCGTTGTGCAAGTATGTAGTCATAAACCAAAGAATTGTATTCGTTTGTATTTTGTGCTGTTTTGTATGTTGTTTTTTTTTTTTTTTAATTCTGTGTGATCTGCAATTGGTCTACTGTGGTATGTGGTAGTGGTGCTGTTTTCTTGTCCAAAGAAATAAACATGAAATAAATAAATATGCAACCTCTGGAGAAAGGTCCCTTTCATACAGGGTAGCCATACATTCGCAGGCTGCATGTATCTGTGTAGCAATTGCTTTTTTGGTGCTCAGTCAGAGCTGCTGTGCACAAAATTCCTGGTAAAGCTATGTTGAAATGCAGCAGGACCCAACCAGGTACAGTCAATATTCAACATCATGCAAGACAGACACATACAAAGCAGTTCTTTGTTTTCCCATACAGGACCAATTTCATGCCATTCTGCATTAGCTTGCACTGCTAAACTCCAGCTTCCCTGTACAAGGTCAAAATAAAAACTTTATACATGCTGATGTTACGTCCTTTTGATATTTGTGTCTAAATTTCACCGCCTACTCTAAATCCCTTCCATTGAGGGAGAGAGAGAGAGAGCGAGAGAGAGAAAGGGAGCAGTGGTGGTTGAGCAAGTTAGAGAGTGAATAAAGAGAGGGGGTAGTGTTTCCGAGAACAAAGCAGTGAATCAGAGGAAATGTCTTGTCACACTGTCATCATTTTAAGCGTGCCCTTACCGGCGATTTGACCACTTCACTTCAGACATGTAGCCGGTTAGAACACAGCCGTCACTATCTGACCAGGCCTGGTCAGGTAAAATTGCCGGCAAAACTTTGCCAGTTATGCGACTGTTCAGACATGTCTAGACGTGAAATAGCTGGCAAATTCCTGGCTAGGGATGCATGTCTGAAAGGGTTAATGATTGCTGGTACTGAACTGCATGACAATCTATCCAAAATAGGCTGAGACATTTTATTCAAAACCACAGAGTTGAATCCCAAGGTGGTGCTCGAGGAAAAATACTCGTACTCTGGGCACCATACATGTCTGTACTAGAATAATGTATCCAGTTGTTGTAAGACATTTTCACTCAATCAAATTAATCAACTGGCCAATGGACTGCCATTGCTACTAGCAGAGCTACTACTGCTTTAAAACTTTGCACGCTGTGCAAGTATAAGCCTAGTGACTTACCTTGCTGGGCTGTTTTGGCTTTGGTTTGATGCTGATGAAGACATCCAGCTGTTCCATTAGTGCTGTGATACACTGGGCCTCCACCTCAATGTCCTCCTTAATGTCAAACATTAATACCAGAGGCAAGCAGCCCTGTGAAGCAAACAACATCAAAGTACATCATCAACATACTCGTTTTCTCATGTCAACTGCAGATTAATCTCTTCCAGTGCCTTGCTGCAACATACTGTATCTGTGCTCCTGTATTAGAAGCTATTTCTCATAAGAGTAGTAAATGTTCCTTTATACTCTCCCATTTATAGAAGTACGTGTTAGCCATACCAATAAATACAAGATTCACTGCTGGATTTGTCCCACACAGAGTTTGGGAAATTCCGCCAAGAACAATCTGTTTTGCATGATCACCACCACAAGTGCCACAGACATCTATATTTTGGGTCAAGTGCTGGACAGCACTCCTGTTGTGAGTGGGTGTAATTAGCAGCAGAGTAGAGGGCCAGGCAGGCTCTGACAGGGCCTGAGACTGGAGCTGTAATCTACAGTCTAGCTGGAAGAGGCCAAATCACACCCTACGCTACTGCGGGCACAACTTCTCTGCACATCTACTTCTACTTTCAAAGCGACTCCCCCTGCTCCTCCTTACCCCCCTTTCTCCTTTCTCAACCTCCTTTTAAATCCCCTGCTTTTTATGCTTTGCTTCCATTCTCCAACACTTCTTTCATAAATCAGTTTCTTTTTTACTTTCCTACTCAGATGGTGAGAGGCTCTTTCTTGTGTGCCTTGTTTCCAGACCAGGAGAAAGCCATGTTTAGTCACTGCAACAACTGTGGCATTCGCTAAATGTCTTGGGGCCAAATGGGAGACCGCAGACAAAGAAAAGGCAGCTCTGGCAGAATTACTGCCTCACATTATGGATCTCTAAACAGAAAGCCAAAGCTGTTTATGGCTGAGATGCCTTTATATGCATCAGTTCAGCAGAAGCTTTGAGCCAATAGTAATTAAACATCCATCTCTGTCTAAAAAAATGTGTAAATAGACTTCTCATTCTATTCATAAGTAATTTAGATAAGGGTAGCCTCAGTGGACATGGGCAACAAGACAAGAATGACCACAGAGCATTTTTGACCAACAGAAATTGACAGTAAATATGAGGCTAAGGTGTAGACCTTTGAATTACAAATTCCAATCCACCAAAATGTACTGTACACATAAGCCAAACCAACAGGGATAATCTCTATTCAAGACATTAAATATTCAAAACAAGCGGGTGCAAATGTGTGTCATCTAACTATATAACATTTCAGGAGTGGGAGCAAAGAAAATCTTCCCCAAGGCTATTCAATCCCCCACCCCAAAAGGCAATTATGGTTTACTTCCTGAAAAGCATCTCAAACCCCACACATTATTCACCAGCATACCAAAAGGCCTAGCAGTTAAGAGTGATTATTTGCAAACAGTGGATGTTAATAAGCAAAGCCAACATAGGTACACACCATGAGATACTGCCGCGCCAGGCAGACCGACTCTGTGGTGCCCTGAATGTAGACCGTAGATTTCTTCTGAGGGCTGTTTGGGTCAGGGAAGTGGATCTGGGCCCCCGTTCTCTGGGTGATGTGCTTGATGTTGCTGCCATTGCGGCCCTTCATAAAGAGGTGGTGCTGGGGTGCAATGTCCAGGTGGGTAGTAACTGAGATGGTGCTTGCCAGGTTACCAACCAGGTGCTCCAACAACAGAGCTGTACCCCTCTGGGGAAACAAAAATGACAAGGTAATTACTGAAATATAGAAATAAGTCTCCCTCAACTGTAAAATGTTGTTGAGTTCTGCTGTGCAGAATGATGTATTTACAAAAGGCTGATTCCACATTTATCTGTGGAAGGGGGAACGTTCCTCTATGATCATCTTAAATCTGAGCTTAATGCGTTATATGTGAGCAAGAGTTTGATAGCTTGGAAGGAAATCATGGTCCATTAGACAAGTTTTATGGCAGTCGTGGCCTAAAGTTTAAGTGACAAGAAGGTCAAGATTAAATCTGGGTGGGACAGGTGACAAAGCAGTGCTCCCCTCACTCTTTTGACCCTTAACCAAGTCAGCATCCCAGAGAGCCTACCCTCAATAAAGGCTTAAAAATAAAGATTAAAGCCCCCCAGTGAACATTCACTCAGAAATAACTCGAGTAGGACACATCTTGACTCCAGCAGTAAAACTATAAAAGGAGTACACAAATTTTTAACTTATTTTTCCAAGTGGATCAAGAAATAAATAAAAGTACCGTAGAACTGATATTTTAACAAACCCAAACATGATTCAAATCATTTTGACATAATAGGCAATACATAATTACTTTAACTGATATTCCATGAAAACAGTCAATCAATATTTTTTGTCATTATTGACTGATCTAGTGATTATTTTCTTCTTACAGTATAAAACAAAAAAGATATTCAGTTTACTATTTATTATCTTTTCCCAGAGATGATGGAAGACTCATTGACTTTAACTAGCCACAACTCAGATGCCAGCTCAGGAGGCACATCTTTTTTTTTTTTTATAGACATGAGCTGTGGAGCGAAAATACATCAGGAAACTCCACAACCAACCTGAAATAGAAACTTAACTCAGGAGAGATATTTGGACTTGCCAGAGAAGTAGTGGCTTTAGTGAGAAGAGCAGTGGATAGCTGAACCAGCAGCCTTCCAAGTCAAGTGACCAAACATCTCTCAGCACTCTCCTGCCCCAGTGGTGCTGAAAGTAATGAGGTGGTTTACACAAGAAAAGTGAGGAACACCGACAGTGTTGGTGGGCCTTGACGTGGTGTAGCTCTGGAAACCTCTTCTCAGGCTGTGGTTCGCCATGTAAATGGGTGGAGGAGAGTGAGGGTACTAATTCAATATTGTTACACCGCAACAGCTAACGGAGTGAGCAGGTCAGGTTCAGTCCCTTATTTCAACTTTAACTTTCACTCTGCGTTAAAGGGAAAATAATTTATATTACTGCAGTCAATACAGTATCAGGATAGACTGACAGTTTTCTCTAAAATGAACATTAGAGCACCGATACCATAAAGAAGGTGACTGAGTTGATTAATAAATTTGAACATTGTAGGTTTTTTGGTCTTAGACCATTTGTCAGACAAAACAAGCAACATCAATGTAAAAAAAAATGTAATGAGCATTTTCAGTTTGTGGATATATGTATGCTACATCTTTAATTGAACAGACCCTCCTCACCTTAACCGCATTGGCGTTGTTCTGTGAGCCGCGAACCATGACTGTGGCCCTATAGAGACGTGTCGGAGGCTTGAAGGAGATGGCGAGATTGTAGGTCTGTGAGATGTGCTGCACGGTTGGGGAGCTGGGGTCAGACGGCATGATGGCAGGAAGCTCAAAAGACAGCACAAGAGGGAGCAGCTCCTGCAATATTCAGGGAGGATTATCAAGCTCATTATTTTGCTTTTGCTGCTACAGCAAGAAAACAGGGAAATAAAACATGTATAGGATGTACCAATATTCTTTGCAAAACTTCAACAAGCACAATACAGTCTTGTATCATAAGGTCAATGAGACTGAGGAAAACCATTTGCAAAAACACAAATTTTAAATGGTGAATTCTTTGTGTAGACTTAAGTGAATTCATTTACAAACATTACAACCATTCCTTTAGTAGAGAAGATGGCATGTGAATCTATCAGCTCAAACAAAACCAAAACTAATCCAAATGAGTCAGCAGTGCCACAATTAAGACAGACCCCCTTTGTTACATGAAGTATGCTGCAGAGTAATGTGGTAGCATCACTGGATTTAAACATTGTGGCTACACAGGTTTTTAAACTATGGTTTAAAACTCTTCAGTACATCAGAGGTCGGTGGCCTGTTCATTCTAGTACATTAATCTCAAGGCACTGAATCAAACCACGGGAGCAGCAACAGACATCAGCTTTTGCCATTTGTATCACAGCAGTCATTCAAACAAAACAGATGCAGACAGGAAACCCCTGCTTCATGCACACGCATACCTATGTATGAATGGGAAAGAAATCACACGGGCACACCCATACACAGAAACTGAATGGAATGTCCACATACACAGAGAGGAGAATGAATACATAT